TCCATGCTTATTTTTTCACTTCTGATGAAATTGTTTTCATCTTTTCTTAATCTCAAAAACTACACATGATTGTTGTAAAAAAAAAATTGAATATTTTTCCATGTCCAATGGTCAGTTTTCAGTCCCCATCTTATTTCATCTCTCGCACCCTCCTTGGCCTATTTGTGGAGGACAACGTGGGCACGGTGTGGGGAAGCAGGTCATGGGGAGGGGGCAGGAGATGGGGTCAGAGATGCCAGCACAAGTCCCTTGTCTAAAGGGTTGGGGCTCAGTCCAAAGGTAGCATTGGAGTTATTTCTTTAAGGTCTATCTTGTCTGCTCGTGTGCAAGCCCCATGAGGCCAGGACACAGCCGTTCTGCAGCCCTGAGCTGAGGGTCTGGCTCACAGCAGATTCTGGTAATTCATCACTGTCCAGCCATGCTGTGAGCTCCCTGCATCCTGTGGACAGAGTTCCTCTTACAACAAGTACACGGGGCAGTTCCACCCACTGTGCTGACTTCTTCCATTAGATAACTTACGTGTTTTATTTCATTACTTAATATTCTTCCAAAAGCAACAAATGTTCACTACAAAAAAGAGAGAGAGACTTCAATATATTATTTGCTATAAAATAGAAAACATGCCTATCCCCATGTCCACCCTGGTCCACGCTGGTCCCATTTCCCAGTCGTAACTTACCTCAACATCGTGATGTTTATCATTCTAGGCCTTTTCTCTAGACGATTAGATCAGTCAGTCTGCAGATGTTTATTGAGCATCTGTTCTGCGCCAAGCACTGTATTTTCTTGTTACCAAATGGGATACTGTAAATATTCTTTAATAGGCATCCAGTTTAGAAAATCTGAAAATACCCAAAATAGGAGGAAAAAAAGGAGAAACCCATTAGATTCATAATCCAAAGAGATTCATGATCCAAAGAGAGTTGTGTTTTATAGCTTTGTATAGTACCTTGCAGTTGTTTATTTATACGTAGTTTTAGTTTACAATGTCATGATCATACTGAAAGCAGTTTTCTTGCTTTTTTATTGCACAAGTAACACAAACAGAAGACATAAAAGCAAAATCCCTTGGAAGTCTACTACTCACAGTTAATTACTACTAATCTTTAATATCAGATATATATTTTTTTCAAAACTAGAAGTTTGGGATCACACTGAAAACATCACTCAGGAACTGACTCTGATCTTGTAATCTATTTCTGTGTCCATAATTATAATCCTTACATGTAGGCTTGGTCATCATGTGAGTTCATCATCAGGGGATCAGCAGCCTCCTTTTCTTGGAAATTAGAATATTTCCAATTTTTTATTTTTATAACAACACCTGAATGAATGAAGCAAAATGTTTGTACATATCCTTAGTAACCTGAGTATGATTTTACATATTAATTCACTCATATTTTAACAACATCAAAACGTTGATCACAGTTATCTTTGATGGTATTCTATGAGATTATTATTTTCTTTTTATACTTTTTTGTTTTCTCTAAATGCTTTGCAATAAACAGATTTTATTTGCTAACCACAGTATCATTTAAAATTATGCCATGCAAAAATTTCCAGACTGCTACAGTTTCACAGTGATGGTTTTTTATGGCTGCCTGTAATTCCATCTAGTGGACAGGCCACTGTTCACTTAACCTTCCCCTGTCATTGGCCACTTGGGTTTTTTCCCAACTTTTTCAAGATCATTACATGGGAACCCCACTCCATATTCGGGGTCATGTCCTCATGGAACAGCCCAGCAAGGGCTGGAGAACAGGTTTCACACCTGTGGTACCTCCTGCCACACTGCCTTCCCGAAAGGATGTACCACTCTCCACTCCCACCAGCATCATGTGACGATGCCCAGCTGCCCTCCTCTCCCAGAGACAGTTCAGGCTGCTAAACCATCGCTTTCTCTGCCAGGAGGGCAGGAGAGAGGGGGAAATGGGTTTGTCAGTGATGCCAGCGTGATGACCCCAGGCCCAGAACCGCGGGAGTGATTTTTAACAAGGCCGATTCCCAGAACAGAACCTGCCGAGAAAAAGAAAAGCAAGCAAGCGAGGGAAAGACTGCTGGAAACACACACACACAAGCAGATTAAAATAATATTTGGCACTTCTGTCGCACTTTTAAAATTCTTCAAACGCTTTATAAACACTAGCTAATTAATTAAGCCTCCTAAATCTGGCTGCAGTTGGTAGAGAGAGCTTGAGAGGAGCTAAAAAAGGCGGCGGGGGGCAGCCCCACACAACTCCAGATTTTATTGTGGCCTCCTGGCTGTGACTGCAGGCCTCCGGCTGCAGCACAAGAATAGCCCTGCCCCAGCCGCAGGCCTGGCTCCGCACCTCCTCTTCTGCTCCTGCCTCCCTCGCCAGCTGCTGACTCACAGCCCTGTGCGGTGGTATTGATAAGGATAATAATAACCACCATTGATTGCGTGTCTATGGGCCAGGCACAGTCCCGGGCTCCAGACTCGCCATTTCCCAGACCTGCCTGTGACAGCCCCTTTAACAGATGAAGAAAGAGCCTCAGGGAGAGGATCTGCCCAGGAGCAAGTGAAATCCCTCCTTCCTTCATTAATGCGTTCATTCAACGTGTATTTATCAAGGGCCTGGTGTGTGCCAGGCAGTGTTCTAGGTAGGGGGCTGGAAACACTTCCTTGTGGATCCTGCATCCTGCTTGGAGGAAACATGACAATCCAGAGAAAATCAAGTATATAATAATGTATCTGTGATAATAATGGGAACAGAAACTAAAGTTTAACCAGCACCTGTGCTGCAGGCACTTATGTCCAACTGTGTCCTCATGACTATCTTGGGGGTGTGGGTGCCAGTACCCCACTTTGTGGGTGACGGAGTGGAGGCCCAGGGAGGGCGGGTGCTGAACTGGCTGAGGGTGGACCGTGCTCTCACCCAAGCCTGCTGGCCCCAGCGCCCATGCTTCCTGCCAGTGGCATTTCTAGTCCAGTCTCCAATGTAGAATGCAGACCCTTCGGGAATGGTCCTGGCTGGATGCTCTTGGCAGCTGTTGCTGCTGCCTGGGATCTCTCGAGGTCCCTGCCTGCCCCTGTGGGCCTCCTCCGTGTGCCTCTCACACACCTGGTCAACAGTTCTACCCCAAGCCGCTGTCCTCTGCAGACAGTCGTTTCTTCCCTGCACCATGAGGATCAGGCTGTCTTCAGGCTGCCACTCTGCATTTCCACTCACTGGCCATGAGAAACGGGCAATCCCTGGCATGGGAGTCAGAGCTGGGACCACAGGAAGGGGATGAGAGGCCTGTCCCGAGGCCCTGGGCTTACCTGCAGTGAAGGAGTCTGTGGCTGGGTAAATTCACAAGGTCTCTCTCCAGCTCAGCCAAAGGTGAGGGGCTGCTTGGGGCATCAACTGCAACCCTGTCCAATGTACAAGGCAAGGTGGCCTCGGTCAGGACAGGACAGGGTCACATCAAGGGTCAATGGAGCAACCAGGCAGAGACCAGTTGGCCCATCTGCACCTCTGCCAGGCTGCTGCCACTCCGTGTCTCTGTCTTATTCTGTCTTTCCCCCCGCCTCCTTCTCAGTCTCTCACTCCATCTCTGTCTGTCTGCCGCTCCCTCTGCCTGTCTCGGTGGTTCTCTCTCTGTCTGTGTGTGTGTGTGTATGTGTGTGTTTCTCCAAGGTCTTCATGATCTGTCCTTTCTGCCCACCCCGCACCTTGTTCAGAATCAAGGCCCTGGCTGCACCTCACTCCGAGCATCTACAGCACCTCTCACAGCATCTTCACCAAGCCTGTCCATCTTCCTCCTGTGTCCCCCTCCCTCCCAACCTCCTCTACTGGGAGTCACTGTTCATGTGCCCCAGTCCTCTCCAATTTGGGGCTCAGGTCCCTCCCCACCGCCAGCCTCTAGGACCCCTTCCAGCTGTCCAGCCTGGGAGTCCTGGAGGCCCGACCTGGGTCCAGCCCCTGTGTGTCCCAGCACCCAACCCGGGCCTGGCCTGAAGGAGCATCAGCGAGATCTGGTGGGAGTGAAGTTTGAGCAGCTGACCCTCCTCATTTATTCATTGTGTGATGACAGTAGCTTCCCCTGTGCCCAGCTTGGTGCTAAGTGACTTCTGCGTGTGATCTCATTTTCTTTTCAGAGCACGCAGAGGCCTGGCGGTGGTCTACCCAACTTGTAGATGAGGAAACTGATACTAAAGCAATGCATAAACTCAGGTCATGGGTGAATAAAAAGTGAGCCAGGTCTCAGACCAGTTCAGATGGCTCCAAAGACCAGACCCATCTTTTTGACACTGTCCTGGCCTAGGCATGTTGTTTGTTCCTACTAGAGATCCATGGAGACGGGGCCATAGTAACTGACAGATAAGGAGACTGAGTCTCAGAGGGCAGTAAAGGGACCTGCCCAAACTAAAGGTATCAAGCAATATCAAGTGTGCAGTTATCGAGCATGCTCACAGGCCTCCCTGTGGGATCTTCACAGTCACCTGAGTGATAGCCAAGGTCACACAGCAATAAGCCTTGAGCCGGACTCACACCCAAGCCCTTGTACCTCACAAGTCCACGGCCCGGACAAGCCCCGACTGCTGAGTACTTTTCCAGGGCCTGCTTCCTGAGCCGGGCCCAAAACAGCATCTAAACTCCTTATAGAGCCCCCCTGCACACCATGCTGCCACCTACCCCTGAGCCTTTGCCCAGGCTGCTCCCTCTCAGGAACACTGTGCCCCTTTCTTTATTCCTGGTAAATTCAGATTTGAATTGAGAGCCCAGTTCAGACATGACTTCCAGAGCAGGCTCAAGTACTCAGACCTACTCTCTGCCACATCATTTAACCTCTCTGTGCCTCACTTTCCTCTCTTGTATTAGGGTCTCACGTTACAGGCTCATTGTGCAGGTTACATGTGATACACGTGCAAGGTGCTGAGTTCAGGTGTGGCTCATGGTGCACTAAGTCAATGAAAACTGTTGTTGATAAACACTTGAGAAAAGCTACAGGATCCCATAAGGATGAATGAGTAACTGGATTGTGTTTCCCTCCAGGTGTGGCAGGTGAGAATGAGCTGCAGGTGATTCAGCCTGAGAGGTCAGTTTCAGTTGCAGCAGGAGAGACGGCCACTCTGCACTGCGACGTGACCTCCCTGCTCCCTGTGGGGCCCCTCAAGTGGTTCAGGGGCACAGGGCCAGGCCGGAAGTTAATCTACAGTCTCAGAGGAGGCCCCTTCCCTCGAGTAACAACTGTTGGAGATACTACAAGGAGAAACAACACAGACTTTTCCATCCGCATCAGTAACATCACGCCAGCAGACACCGGTATGTACTACTGTGTGAAGTTCAAGAAAGCAAGCCCTGACGTGGAGGTTAAGTCTGGACCAGGCACTCATCTCACTGTGAGTGGTGAGTATGGCCTGGGTCTCTTTTGTCCCCCTGGTCTGTGACAACAAGTCAACAAGAATGCCCTCCACCCTTTGAGAAAAAAGGAAAAAAAAAGGATCAAGTGCAGCAGTGGGTGTTTATATCATGATCTGATTTCACTCCCTTCTACAGATCAGGGAGACTGAGGCCTGCAGAGGTCATGCTACTTGCTAAAGGCCCCACAACTGGTAAAGCTGGGAAAAGTCTGGAACCCCAGTCTGCCTGGCTCCACAGCCCTTGCCTTTTCCATCCCATCTAGCCCTTTGGTTCCAGGGATGAGGGAACTGAAGGTCTGAGCGACTTGCCCCGTCGCAGCCCAGGTGTCACCTCCTGCCTCCAGAGAGTGCTTCCCTCAGTGTGGCTGAGTCTTCTCTTTATTCAGCACCCATTGAGCACCTACTGTGTACCAGGCCCTGCTCCAGATGTTGTGGAAGCAGCAGTGAACAAAGCAGACAAGGCTCTTCTCCCATGGAAATTATGTTCTCTCCCCTTCCAAAGAGAAGTCTATCCAGGGCAGGGTTTCTTTATTTCCTCTTCAGAAACATCACACTGAGAAGAAATTCCTAGAGGCATAGGTTCAGTGTTTACTCTGACGGCCAGGGCTAGAGGAGATGCCCAGAGGTTGGGTGTTTCCTGGGGGTCTGTTGGGAAAACCCTCCTGTGATTCAGGGACCGACTCACAGAGTCACTGAAGGCTCCCAGCAGAGCTGGGTCATCTCAGAATGTCCCTCCCCAGGGAAGAGGTTCCCCATGTGGGTGACTTAGGGGCTGCCCCATTGAGGTAGCAAAGGTGCTCATTTAGAGTTTTCTGGCAAGGACCCTGGATCCTCTTCCTAGCTCCTGAATCCTGGACTGTGACACAGGGAGGACCTTTAGACACCATCCAGTGCAACCCACAACGTACACATGGGGAGCCTGAGGCCAAGACGTGACTGGGACCTAGACCGCAGTCACATGGTCAGTGAGGGAATCCTTCCAGAACCCAATCTGATTCCAGGCCAGACTCCTTCCTGCACCACCATTGGAACTGGTTTCATGGAAGAGCCTGGCACATAGAGGGGACAAGATTAAAGCTCCTTGAATTAACCATTGAACAGGGAGCCTTTTCATAGGTTTCCCCAAGGTTCAGAATGCCCCTCACATTCAGGCCCTGAGGCCCAAGGTGACTGGGAACCTCTCCCTATTTTTAGCCACAATTCCCTCATTCCATATCAGGACCTGGAGCTGCCCAGTGTTTCAACAGCTGCAAAGCACTCAGCATATGGAGACAGCGTCTGTCAGTCTTTTGTTGACAAATATCAAGTTGTTCCCAAACTTAGGATATTAGAACAGCACTGCAGTGGATAATCTTGTCCTGCATCACTCTACTCAAGTGGGAGATGCCCGCTGGAAGTGGCATTGCTAGATCATGGACTATGTGTATTTTAATTCGTGTGGATATTACCAAATTTCCCTCCTAGATGTGGTAGCAATCGAATCTCCCCATTACCCCTGGACATAGGGAAGGTGCCTTTATCCTGACTTTGCAGCTATTACTAAACTTCCCAGATGGTGGTTCCCTTGCTCAGCCAATCTCAGCTAGTAAGTGGCTCCACCACCACCACTCAGATCTGCTGCCTCCCAGGAGGCTGCTCGTCCTCTTCCCCAGGCCGCCTGCCCAGAGGATTCCCTGGATGAGAAGGGAGCGAGGGGAGGGGACCAGGGAACAGCAGCCTGACAGACGCTGAATCTTCCTCATGGCCTTTTCTCCCTATAACCAGTGCTCAGAAGGAAAGGCTGTCTGTTTTCCCTTCTACAGATAAGGACACTGAGGCTCAGAAAGGGATGTGGCTGCTGAGCAGGTAGGGGAGCCAAGACTGAACCCCCAGCATCCTGACGCACACCCTGCTCTCTGCACCCACTCTGTGCTTGTCAAAGTGTAGAGAAAGCTTCAACCCTCTCCTATAAAATCCTGTATTGTTCTGTTCTTCAGTAATAACTATGAGAAAAAGTCCTGTGTGAGAGGCAGGACTACCTTTACAACCAGATCAGACAGATACTACATTGTCTCGTGATGTCCTGAACATGTTCCTAAAGACACACTTAAAAGCACCAGGAATCTTTTTTCCACCATTGTTGCCATCTTGCTCCTTCACTAGGCCTCATGGGGGAGCAGCTCCGGGAAGGGTAGCGTGGACAGCACAGAGAGGGGCCAGTGCAGTCCCAGCAGCACCATGCACGCCCATTCCTGGCTCTGCAGGCCGAGGATGAGGAGGGGGAGGTGCTCCCTAGAGGGCGCTGGGGGCCCCGCGTGAGCAAGAGTTCATATTCTAGACTCAGGTGTCAGGGGCCCGTGTCTTCCCTTGTTGCTACAGGGTCCCCAGGCCTGGGCACTCAGAGGCCACTCCTCCCTGTAGTTGCTTGAAGTCAAGAATCTCAGAGGGAAAAGGGGAGGGTGGTGGTCAGTGTGGGGGCTTGTGAAGGTGGGGTGCTTGCTCTGCTGATGGCCATGAAAGCTTGGAGGCGACAGGAAACACTTCTGGGACACAGTGGGCAGGTGAGGAGACAGTCCCTTCATTTCTCTCAGCCTCAGTTTTCTCATCTGTAAAACGGTGATCATCATGGTCTCCTTTCAGGAGTGTTGGAAGGATTTGAGGTGCTCTGTCTAAATCACCAGCACAGAGTAGGGGCCCCCCAGTCGAGGTGTTTTTTCAAGGCTGTGACCCAGTTCCCTGTACTGGGCCCCATTTCCTCACGTGTAGAAAGAGGATAATCACACAGCCTTTGCAGGATGTCCTGAGGGTACAACGACCTGGTGACAGGACAGCCCCTCAGGGAGCGATGGTGCTGGCCTCCCAGGCTGTGTGATCTTGGGCATATCTCAGTTCCCTCTAGTCCTCAGTTTCCCCATCTGTGCAATGGTGGTAATCATGCTGCCTTTCAGGGGTCTGTGATGACTGAAGAGGATCAGGGAAGCCCTGGATGGAGTGGGTTGGGTGTCACTGAGCTCAGTGCACAGCGGTTGAGAGCCTGGGCCGAGCCCCCGCTGCCTGGGCCTCCATCCCAGCTCTGCCCCGTCCCGGCTCTGGGACCTCTGACGAGTCCCTCCCCACACTGGGGCTCAATGTCCTCGTCCATCAGTGACAGCACTGCCCTTACAGAGCTGCTGCAGGGACTGAATGAAGGGTACATGTCAAGAGCTTAGAGCAGAGCCTGGCACCCGGAACGTGTTCCACCAACGTGAGCTCTGATGTGCCGGAGCCAGAGGACCTCGGATGGGTCACTTTCCCTCCAGGACTAAGTACTACTGGAGTTGGGGTGGGGCTGGGTGCCTTTCAACCTCAGCTGCTCATTGGAATCACCTGGGAGACGGTGAAGAGCTCCCCAGACCCTATCCCCACCCTAGAAATTCTGATTTAATTGGCCAGATGTGGGCCTGGGCAGGTGAGTGTTTTAACTCCTGCAGAGGATGCTGGTGCCCAGCCCGGGCAGAGGAGCCCTGAGTCACGTGTTCTCTGAGGTCACAGAGGGAAGGCTATGGTTTTTCCCTGACAAAGGTGGGTCCCCCGTGGTGCCTGAGTTGTAAGAACAGTTCTTCCGGGTGTGGGTGCTTCAGAATAGTCCAGGACAGTGACAGCTTTTAGGAGGCCCAAAGAAGTCAGCCTGAGTGGAGAGGCAGAGACACCTCCCCGGTGAGCTCATCTGGGCTGAGAGGGGCTTCCTGTCCACTCAGACCACCCTGTTCAGACCCGAGCTTCATCTCTGGGGAAACTTTCCGATATTTTAAACACGTGTGTGTGTGTGTGTGTGTGTGTGTGTGTGTGTGTGTGTGTTTGTAAACAGGTGCTAGAATCCCTGTAGACCCTCCCTGCTCAGCCCAGAGCCCTCCTGCCTCAGTACACCACAGTGACACTGACCAAGTCTAACGTGTTCCCTCCTTTCAAAATGCTTCCAGCTTCTGTAAAGAGCTGACCTGCAGGAAAATGCCTATGATCCCTTGTGTGTTTTGAAAGCCAGTTCCCCCAAATTTTTCCCTGAGGGGATTATTTTTAAAAAGAGGGAGAGAATCATAATTTGGTGGTTTCCTACTCCTTTATTCATGTGGATTTTTCATGGCAACTGCAGAGAACAAGATTTGAGACTTTTCTTGTTTTTTCCCATAATACTTTTGTTTTGCTTTCTTACTTAGAGAATAAATACATAGTTTCAGACCTAGGAATGACCAGATCTTATGATTAAGATGTTATTGTATTATTGATTAAGCAACTATATGCCAGGCTCTGTGTTTTACATACATCCTCACTCATCTTACCAAGTGGTGCTTTATCCACTTTGTCTAGAATCAGACACTGAGGCTTAAGAATAAAGATCAGAGACCCTAAAATCAGTCAGTCCTGTGTGCAGTGAGATGAGCTCTGACCTTTCCTCGCTGGGTGCCCTTGGCCAGCTGCATCCTCCCTGAGCCTCATCCCATAAATGGGGCCACTCTCGAGCTTCCCTCTCAGGACTGATGTGGGGAATGAGAGAGCTGAGGTTCCTAGAGGAATCAGCCCAGCACCAGGCTCCCAAAAACTCTCTCTAAGTGCTATCTGATCACAGTATCTGCTCCCTTTACTTACGTCCAGGATGCTGGTGTTTTTATGACTTGATTTATTCAAGTAACACCTCCTTACTATGTCCTCAAAATGTTTGATGAGTTTTAGGAAGCAAGTTAAATATTTACAAATGCAAATATTTATAATAGTTGCTGTCTGCCAACTTTTACAGGAGGTGTTACGTAATAACAAACAATTTGGAGACACCCTAGAGGACCCTTCTACAGGGAGAAACTGCCCTCGCTTTTTTTTTTTTAATATATATTTATTTACTTATTTATGGCTGTGCTGGGTCTTCGTTTCTGTGCGAGGGCTTTCTCTAGTTGCGGCGAGCGGGGGCCCCTCTTTTTTTTTTTTTTTTTGCGATAGGCGGGCCTCTCACTGCCGTGGCCTCTCCCGTTGCGGAGC